CCCCCCCCCATTGTTAGTGAACGGTATGTTCATCAAATTTTATGTTACGAATTATATAAATGAGCCACACCGCAGACTACAAATGGGCTTTCCCGTACGACATATCTTCCAGAATGGATAATCTCCCCGGCGCCTTCTCTTTCTTCGGTACGATGAGGGCACCTAAATGTGTTGTGTTTCACAGGTTTACAAATAGATCACTGATATTCTTTTCGAATAGGTGGAGTGTGTCCACGAATGTCATCAGAAATAAAATCTGTAGCGACCTTTCACTGTTTTTGCTCACAAAACCAGTCGACGTCGTAGAACCACTACTGTTCGAGCGACTTTCCCCTCTATCGGGGATGCGCTTTTGTCATTTAGCAGTATCAGCTCGACGGTGAGTTGGTGAAGGCCGAATGGTGGTATCTTTTTTAAGATCACACTCCTAGGGAAACATAATTATTCATCTCTGTATAATTTTTGGCAGGTAGTCGGTATATGAAAAAAATAGTTTTTCAGTGTTGGGCTTATCTAAGCCTCAACGTGTCTCGGCAAATTGTAAACTTGCTAGTATGTGGCGACAGGGAATTGCCATATGCTCCTTCACTTTACATCTCCTACACGTATGTGTCGCAATATCCACTTCAAATTTTCTAGTTGCGTAAATAGAGCCATAGTCGGAGCTACTATGCGTCAGATATGTTTCGTGGACCACAAAAAGTGTATTGCTTTGGTTCTGTACGGAAAGTTTTTGTCTGTCTTATTTTTTCCCTCTCGAACTTTTCGGACGCGAAAGGGGTCGCGTTATTACCCAATTTGATCCAATTCGTCAACTCGACACTATTTGCAGATATTATCTTCGAGACAGTGTGGCAGAATTTTTCAAGAGCAGGCTGAGGAAAGCGGTCCCGAAGTCCGGAGAGTTTGAAAACGTTGTTCAAACCTTCGATACTACTTGTGGTTCTAGTTCCAAATAGTGGTTTGGCTTCGCCAAACGTTGGAGTTTCGGGCCATTTGGACTTATACCATTCAACTTCAGATGGGGCTGGTCGGAAGTTTCCTAACTTAGTCCAACTAGATGGGTGTATAATCAGCAACTTTCTCTTCCTCTTCAGTCCCTTCATTGATTGAACCAGGAAATACTTGTTCTATTTCTTCTACAACGGCCTCGTACTGTAGTTGTGACGAAGCACGTTGCAACTTGTAAATCAAATTCCGGATTATAGTTTTTCTGTCTCCTATAAACGAAATCGATCTGCGACGTTAAAAGCGAGATGAAGACTGCAAAATTTAAGATGCATGTGCAAACCCAGTTGGTTGAGTAACGCTTGAGCGTTTAATTGCTTTCCTCTGTCTGTGAAAGCAGGAGAGTGCGAAAAGTTCAAACCAGCAGCGATACAGTTCGCAAAATCCCCAGGCGAAGTTGTCAGTTGTTTCTTTGTGAATTAAACCTACGGCAAGCGGAATGGTTTTCTTATTTCCACCGTGACCTATCAGTGTGACACATATCCCGTTGTAACCCGGATTTTTCATATGTGTACCATCGCACTCGAAAACAGGAAGCAAGCTGTCTTGCTTTCCAATTAGGTGAGCGATAGAGAGAAAAGCACACAAAACGCCCACTAGAATCCAATTGGCAACAAACACG